TATCTGTACATGTGATATATGTCATTCCATTCATGGGTATTCTTTGCCTCCTGGATGTAACCCTAGGTGGTTACAATCAAATCAGATATGGCAAATGGATGTTGTACAATTTCCACCCTTTGGAAAATTAAAATATATACATCATTCTATTGATACTCATTCTCACTTTCAATGGGCTACCCCCCAGCCTCTGAAAAAGCTGACTCTGTTATTACTCATTTATTATCTTGTTTCGCAGTTATGGGAATACTGTCAATTATTAAAACTGACAATGCACCTACGTATTTGTCACGAAAACTATCACACTTTTTTGCCTTACATAAGATTCAGCACATAACAGGTATCCCCTTTAACAGTACAGGTCAAGCTATTATTGAACGAGCAAATCGAACTTTAAAATTACAATTACAAAAACAAAAAGGGGGGAATATAGGTATCAGTCCTAGAGATTATATAAACAGAGTCTTATTTAAATTTTTTAAATCAATGGGGTGGTTTCAAGAGTCGACAGCCGTTACTCATTTTCAAAAATCAGGGCAACCGAATTTATTGGAAAATGCTCAACATATTCTTTACAAAACTTTAGAAGGTAATTGGTTACCTGGACAAGTTTTGCATTGGGGTCGAGGTTATGCTTATGTCTCAACAGGAAACACTTGTGAGTGGTTGCCGACTAAGAGGCTGAAATTGCGCCATGGCCAAGAGACCCGGGGATAAAGATTTCCTGCAGATGTTTCGTGAACTGAATCTTCAAGCACGCATGTATACTTATGGCACTAGGACCACTAAACCACCTACCTGGGGTCAGATAAAGAAATTGACCGAAAAGGCTGAGAAAGCAGTACAGCAGGCTGGTCAATGAGTCTCAGCTTCTACTTTGTTTTTGGCTATGGTGGCGATAGTCACCTGCCAGGTAGGAGAATCTGCTGAATTTACCTATTGGGCATATGTTCCCTATCCCCCTCTTTTCCAAGCAGTCTCGTGGGGAGAGAGTGAAATCCCAGTATATTCTAATGAAACTTTATGGATGCCAAGCCCTTATGACTCTGATTTACCCACATATCCTCACGAGGAAGGATTGAATGTTAGCAAGTATGAATTTGGTAGTCGACAAATGCCCATTTGTATAGGAAATGGCAGTCATTGTCTTCAACCTTCGCATGAGGCATGGGGTTTACAGTATAATCATTCTCATGTCGCTGCTCATTTGTTCTTATTATCTGCAAAAAGCTTTAAGATTCTTAATTATACCAATATTTCTCATCTATCTCCTTTGATACCTTTCTGTTCTTTACCTAATATAGATCCCAGAATAACTCATTTTTCCTGGACTCAGTGTCGAGGAAAATCGGCAAAGATTCTGGTCAATGGAAAACAACAGGTTGACTGGAGTCCGCATAGTGATTTAAGGGAAAAATTCTCTAACATTCCTTTAAAATGGCATAAAAGTAATAATTCCTTACCCAATGATGCTAATGAAACTGTGGTGTGGTATGATACTGGTATGACTCCACCCATGCTTCATTCTAATGATTCCTTAACTTTTCAAGGTCAGCTATGGAAATTGATGGCAGCTTTAGAACCATTACATACATGGGTTGGAAATATGACCATAAATATAACCAATAATGGAAGTATTCATATACAGTTATTGAAGAATGAAAGTAAATATGTCCAGGCTTGCGTTAAACTTCCCTATGTGCTCCTTAAAGGACAAATTAGTTGGGATGTACCTACTGGACTTATTAATTGTACAGCTAATTGCACCTTTTATACATGTTTAAATACTTCAATACATATTAATTTTTCCTCAGAAAGTATATATATACTAAGAAGTAGATCTCAGATATGTATTCCAGTAAATTTGACTAGACCTTGGAGTCAGTCAGCAGGATTATCTCATGTATATGATATCTTACGAACAATCTCACATAGAACGAAAAGAGCTATTGGAATAATTATAGCTATAGTATTAGGAATAATAGCTATTGCCACCACTGCCTCTGTAGCAGGAGTGGCTTTGCAACAAGGAATGCAAACTGCACAACAAGTTCAAGAATGGCATAAACACTCTTTTGAATTGTGGCAGCAACAGCATAATTTACATTCTCAAATTTATCAAGAGTTATTGGACTTAAAACAAGTTGTTACATGGTTAGGGGAACAAGTACATATACTAAAAACCCGTGCAGTTTTGAAATGTGATTGGAATTTTACGCAGATATGCGTAACCCCTGTTCAATTTAATGAAAGTAGAAATTGGACGGAGATAAAAGATTATTTATGGGGACACAGAAACCTAACTTTACAAATTGATCAATTAGGAGAAAGTATTACTCAAGCATTTTCTAAAGATTTTTCAGAAATAACTGGGGAAGAGGTCCTAGAAGGCATAGCAAAAGGGTTATCAGAATTGAATCCCATTGGATGGGCCAAGGGATTATTTTCCATGACAGCACTAAATGGAGGATCACTTATAATAATTATATTTGTTTGTTTTTTAGTCTTCCAGTGCTGGAAACAAAGACGACAAGCCATGAATCAAAGATATGAAATTAGAACTCCCCTACGACATTGTAGAAGCCCAGTCATCTAAAATAAAAAGGGGGGAAATGTAGGGACTTGCTGGAATATTCCCCTTTAGCTCAGAAAGCAGCAAGGGGAAGCACCCATTTGAAAGCACTGGGTGCATTAAAGGATCTGGAACTCAGATTGAACTCTTCAAATCCTGGACTCACAGATGAGACAGGAAGCCGGATCTGCAAACAGAAGGGCTGATAAAGAGAAACAGGTGCACGCACTGTTCTCAGAAGAGAACAATCTGAAAAAGTAAAAACACAGATCCCTGTTATCTCTGGCATGGGAAAAAGACAGATCAAAGAGAACAATTTAGACTAGAATTTAAAGAATTGGCTTTCATCCCTTTTCAGAAGTGTATTGTCCATGTGTGTTTGTCTCTTTGTGTCTCATTTCACTTACCCGGTCTGCAACATTCATCACCTTAAAAAATCTCCTGTGCTTCACCTACTCAACTCCCCTCCCTTTCAACTTTTTACTATCTCTATAGCTTTGCCTTTTCAGGATGTCAAATTTTTGGAACCATACAATACATAATCTTTTCAAACTGGCTTCTTTTACTCAGCAGTATGTTGTATCTAAGGTTCATCCATGTCTTTTCCTAGTTTAACACCTCATTTATTTTTCTTGCTGAGTAATATCCCATTGTATGTATGTATACCTGTTCACTTATTGAAGGGCATTTTGACTGCTACGTTTTTGGTGATTATGAATAAAGTTGCCATAAACATTTATATGCATGTTTTTGTGTTGATACACATTTTCAAACCAGTTGGGTAAAATCTAGGAGTTCGAATTGACTTGTTGGCAACTAACAATGCATCTACTCCTCACTTATTTAACTATCTTGTTATCTGACGTCTTACAGTTATGACAATATCCGACTATTTTGTGCATTAACAGCATATGTCTGATAGTAATGAACACGAAGGTGTGAGGTTAGAGTAATGTTGCTGTGATGGTTATGATTGTGTGTTAACTTGGCTGGGCCACGATTCTCGATTCTCAGTGGTTTGGCAGTTAAGTAATGATGTAGTTAACTTCCATTTTGTTATCTCATGTGGTCATCCTCTATTTTCCTAAGTTGAAAATATAACAACCTGGTCTTTGGAACCTAACCATATCAATTAGGTGTACTCTTTTTAAGCTCTTCAAATAAATGATTCTCATCCATCAGTGTCAGGTTAAACATCATCTCCTCTAATTGCCCTCTTTAAACTCCTTGGTGGTTTCCTAGAGACTTCAGCATGAAGCTCAGCTCCTCAGAGTACTTGTATTTAAAAAAAAAAAAAAAGCCCTCACTCCCACCGGAGTAGATTTCGACTCAATGCCACCGCTTGTAGGCCCTCCAGAACTATTCTATGCGAGATTCCTTAGAATTATCTCTTGCCATGAGATTCCTTAGAATTATCTCTTGCCATCAGTCGCCTCGCTCTGAGCTCCAGCCTTGTTCTTGTTGTTGTTATGTGCCGTGGAGTCGGCCCCGACTCATAGCGACCCCTCCTTGGGTTGCCGAGGCAGTATCACTACGGAAGTAGATTGCCCAACCTTCCTTCCCAGGAGTGGCTGGTGGGTTTGAACCGCCAGCCTTCTGGTTAGCAGTTAAATGGCTTAGGCACTATGCTACTAGAGCTCCTAAGCTCCAGCCTTAGTACTCGCTTTTTCAGCAGCCCAGTCTCAAAGACCTGCACATTTTGACCCCTTCGTGGGATATCATCTTTCACCTAACTTCCACTGATGCTTCAGGAAACTTATCTCGGCAGCCCAACGCCCAAGTGAAGCGGTGTCAGGGTTTCCTTCCAAGTTCACAATAGCGTTCACTTTCCTCATACTCGCCCACATTACACTGTGCTCTAATTGTTTACTCGTCCACCACTAGTCTGTAAATTTGTGTATTTGGTGGTTTAGTAAAGGCTTGCGCACGTAGCATACACTTAACTCTTTCTGCAGGAAATGCCACTCAACTGAAACAAACAGCATGAAAAATGACGTACTGTTTCAGTTATCCTATATTTGTAGTCTAACTTTAATTATGCAGGTAATCTTCTTAAATAATTTTTTTTTTTCCCCCAATTCACGTGCGTCTACCCATACCTACACCGCCGGCTTCTTTACTAGGGAATCCCGGAGGGACCCCCAGTCGCAAACACCGGCTTAAGCCGACAAGATGGCTGCTACCTCTTGGCGGCTGTGAGTCTCCACCCACTCAGGGCGGAGGTCTATGTCACGTGGCGACCCGCCTGGCACCGCCTCGGGTCGCAGTGCCTGACGGGAAGCGGAGCGGCGAACGAGGCCGTCGGCCATTTTGTGCCTGTTTCCTGTGGGATGCGGTGCTAGCGGTTGGGTCGGAAAAGTGAGCGATTATCGTCTCATTTATCCTGCTTGTTTTCTCCTCCCTTTTACTTTGTCAGTAGAACGCAGTTATGGGTCGCAAGAAGAAGAAGCAGCTGAAGCCTTGGTGCTGATATCCTTTGTCGGTTTGGAGTCGAGGCCGAGTGGGGGCGCCGGTTGGTGGTGATTGGAAGGCCTGGATTTTGGCCTATGGCTAGGAGGATCTGGGATCTGGGCCTCTGGGCGGGTGGCTTGGTGGCTAAGATCGGACTTGGGGAGGCCTCTGAAAATAAGGTGTTTGGAGGATGAGAGGTGCGGGCAGTTGCGGGTCATGGTACTCCATGACTCAGGATCTGATTTTGAGGTAAACGTTGGCCCACTGGGAGGCGACCTGCACCCCTGCACCTAAGAAAGCGTCCCTTAAGGACTGTTCTGCTCCAACTCCGTTGTTTTGGTGAAGATTCAACAAAGCGATCTTCGAGTAAAGTACGCTCTTTGACTCCATGAAGGTTGGGAAAGAGCTTCCGGAGTCTCTGTCGCCCATTTTCCTCGGTTTGTGTGTGTGTGTGTGTGTGTGTAATGTAATTGGTGGCTTAGTAAAGGTTTAAGTTGGCTAACCCTGATTTCGAAGAACCTTCCCTTTTTTCATTTTGTTTTTTGCGGGGGTCGGGGAGAGCCAGATTCAGCGTCTAATCCAGAGGCGCCTTAGCGTTCTCTTAAAAGGCAGAATTTCGTCTCTTACTCAAGACGAAAGTAGAGTATACGAAAGTCTATTACTCGGCATTGTAGAACTTAAAAAAAAAAAACCTTATTCGAAAGGAAAATCTTAGTAAAATGTAGCGTTTTTTTTTTTTTTTTTAATTTTCTGGGAGCATTGCTATTCTTTATGTTAAAGTTGATTTTAGTTACTCTCGTAGCTAAAAATAATTTGCTACAGAATGGCATTTTTGAGATGTTTTAAAAGGATTACGAGTTTTCTAAGACCTGAGGAAGTAAGAATCTCTGTTTGATTAATTTCATATGCAGTTGGAAACAACTTAAGGAATGTTCACAACGAGATTGTCATTTTTAGTGCCTATGAGCGTTTTAGATCTAAACATTGGTAAATCCCTAGTATTTTGGTTATTTTTATGTGCTATATATTAATGAATTGTTTTGAAATAAACTTGGGAGATTTCTGAACGTTGAACCCTCTCCACGATGTGTAAATACGGAGATGCAGAAGGGAAAAAAAAGTTAATTTCATGTAACGTTTCTGTTAAACACACAGTAATTTGACAAAATTATGTTGCTGCTTACTAAGATGTGTTTATTTGGCATTGTTGAAGAGACCATGGGCCTCTGGAAAATTGAAAATATGCACATTACATGGCAAATTTAGCTCCTCATACAGTAAATATCAAAAGCTAGGCTTCTATGAAGTGCTTTCTTGGTTTTAACTTTTAGCTCACACTTTAATGTTACCTCTGTTCTCCCCTATCCCAGATTGTTTTTATTAAAGTGTTATGCTATTTTTTTGTACCTTAACAGTATTGATCAGGTATTGTAATAGAGATTTTGATGATGAGAAGATCCTTATACAGCATCAAAAAGCAAAGCATTTTAAATGCCATATATGTCATAAGAAATTGTATACAGGACCTGGCTTAGCTATTCACTGCATGCAGGTAATGGTTTTTCTTTCTGTGTTAACATTTTTACCCCCTTGTAATTTGGCATCAACACAAAACTTCTGGAATAATCTTGAATTTCTCTTTGACAGTTGTAAGTTTTGTTTAATGCAAAAGATGAGATGAGCTGGACAAGGAGCTCAAACAACAACAACAAAAACTTCTGTAGCCATTGAGAAGATAAACAGTTGACTTTTTATGTTTAAGGAGCGTTCATATTGGTGTTAATCTTTAAAATAAATAACAAATAATGCTATTTTTAAAGATTCTATCTTTTGTGCTAAGTTAGATTGGTGAGAATTAGGTTGGGATAATAGAGTAGTTCCTGAGTGCTGGGGGTAGAGGAGGAGGATCAGCGATTTACATTTTGTGGGGCCAGTTCTAATCCCATAAGAATTAATGTCATAATTATCTGTTATTACTCCCTGCCATTGAATGGTGTATTTGGTATAATCTCTAGCCTGGGGCTAAGCTTACTTCAATCTTATTTTGAAATGACTGCATTATAGTTTAATAATTTCTAGGTTTCTTGAGTCCTTTCACTACTAGGTAAGAGAGCTTTGTAATTTATATTTATAAAGACTAATATAATGTCTTTATAAATATAAAAAATGGCCAGACTTCGTCTCACCTATTTTGGTCATGTTGTAAGAAGGGACCATTCCCTGGAGAAGGATGTCATGCTTGGTAGGGTGGAGGGTCGACGAAAGAGGGGGAGGCCTTCAACGAGATGGATTGATACGGTGGCTGCGATGATGGGATCAGGTATAGCAGGGATTGTGGGGCTGGCGCGGGATCAGGCAGTGTTTTGTTCTGCTGTGCATGGGGTCGCTATGAGTCGGAAATGACTCGATGGCACTTAACAACAACAACAAAGACTAATGAGTATGCTTGGATCTCATTCAACATTATTTCTTCTAGTTTTGCTTGTCCCAGAGCTATCAGAATTTTTGCTAAATTAGACCCTGGAGAGGTGTGAGATAAGTCAATCCTTATTCATTAGAAATTACTGTTGGTGAGTGTCAGGGAGGTAAATTAAAACAAGCATTGCTTTCTCAATTTAAAAATAAGCTTGTATATCCTTTCCACTCCGATTATTTTATTGTAACAACAGGTTAGTATCCTTTAAAAAATATTTGAGAGCCTATTATTTGCTAGATCCAGTATCTTCTATGGCACCCACTAGTCACATGTGGCTATTTAAAATAAGATTATTAAGTAAGAAAATTTTTCACTTCCTCCATCACATTAGCCACGTTTCAAGTGCTTAGGAGCCAATAGTAAGCTAGTGGCTTACTGTATTAGATGACATGGATGGCCATTCATTGCCTAATGTTCTGTAAGACAGCACTGTGCTGGGCATTGGGCATACAGCAGTGACTAAAACAAAGTGCCAGGTTAGATTTATACTATGGAGGAAAAGGACATGTAAATATTTAGTTTATCCCATACCGTTAAATGATAAAGAGAAAAATAGGCATAGTTAGGGGGATAAAGAAGATCTTGAAGCTGACACTTGAGCAGAGATCTGAAGAAAGTAAGGAGGACCTTCCAAGGAACAGCAAATGAATAACCCTTAAGTTGGGAGCATCCTCTTAACATTGAAGGAAAAGGAACGTATGGTTTTATCTAGGAGGACTTATAGGCCATTTATAAACATTTTGATTGAAATGGAGGGTTTGAACAGAGAGGTGTAACATGTTCTCCTACACTTTTTTTAAAGGATCATTCTGGTTGCAGAGTTAAGACTAGACTGCAGGGTGCATTGAGACCAATTAGTGTACTTGGCAAGGGGTGATAGTACCTGAGACCGGAATTTACTGGTCAGTTAGATGTGTGATATGAAAGGAAAGTAAGGTGTTAAGTATGACCCCAAGGTTTTTGGCCTGAGTGTTGTGAAAAATCAGTTACCATATACCTAAACGTGAAAAGCTTTAGGAAGAATCGGCATAGGGAGGAGGATATTAGGATATTTTGTGTTAATTTTGAGTGTGGATGTGTATATTTGAGAGGACCTTTGGATAGCCAGGTAGAGATGTCAAGTAGGTAGACATTAGAGCTGGAGATAGACATTTGGGAGAATGTAGTATAAGAATGGCCGTCATTAAGCCTAATAGTATATATCCATACCTAGAGAGTAGAGTACATATAGAAAAGAGGTGCTAGGACTCAGCCGTGGCTTTCTTAACATTTAGAGGTCAGAAAGATGAAAAGGAGCCTTCATCCAGGGAGACTGAAAGCTAGGAAAACCAAGAGTGTAGTGCCCTTGAAGCTAAATGAAGTTATTTCATCAGGATCGGTGGTAGGTCAAGTAAGACTTAAGATTGGATTAATCAGAGTGAAGGTTGTACTTGCCAAAAGTGATTTCTTGCAGTGATGAGGGTAAAAGTCTCCTTGGTGTGCTTTTAAGAAAAAATGGGAGAGGAAATTGAGGTACTTTTCAAGGAGTTGTGCTGTAAAGAAGAACATAGAAGTGGAGTGGCAGCTAGAAGGAGATTAGTTGAGAGAGTATCAGTAACATTTTTAATTGACTAAAGGAGCTCTGTAATAGTGCAGTGGTTAAAGCACTTGGCAGCCAACTAGGAGGTTGGCAGTTGCACCCACCAGCAGCTCCTCTGGAGAAAGATGAGGCAGTCTGTTTCTGTGAATATTTATATTTATAGCCTTGGGAACCTTATGGGGGCAGGTCTACTCTGTCCTATAGGGTTGCTATGAGTTGGAATCTACTTGATGGCAGTGGGGTTTAGTTTTTGTTTTTAATTAATTGACTGAGTGTTTCTATTTTCATAATCTTATTTTCACAGTAACCTGTGAGATGGGTATGACAGTTAAATAAGACACATCATCTAATTTTATACATGATAAACCTAAGACAGTAGGAAGTTGATGGTCCACAGCAGGTTTTCATCAGTGCTTGCCTCCCTTTTGTGTATGTGGTAAAAATATACCCAACAAAACATTCACCGAGTCCTTCATGTAAAATAAAGTGACATTGATTACATTTAGGTTTCCCGTATCTTTTTAAAGCAAAGTTTTAAGAAATCTGTTGAATTCTGACTACCATAATGTTGGGGTTTAGGTTTTTAGTAAATCACATATTTTTCTCTTCCAAAAACTTTACATTAATATATTTACCCCTGCCTTTACCATTTGGAAGGAAGATTGGGCAATCTACTTCTGTAGTGATATCACCTCGGAAACCCAAGGAGGGCTCGCTATGAGTCAGATTGGACTCAATGGCAGTGAGTTTTTTTTTTTTCCCTCCCCCTTGGGCCTTTACCATTCAGAAATGTCTAATGGTAGAGTAGTTACACACCAGTGTTACTGTATTTTTTTAAAGAACATAAATGATGAGTTATTTCATCTGCATTACCAAGAATAGCAGCATACTACAAAAAATTTAGGAAGCAAGGTATGATAAGTCACTTATTGAATAACTTTATGAATCTTTTAATCACAGGAAAGGAACAGCTATATAAGATTAAGCAGAAATTAAGATAATTTCTAAGTTTATCTTGTATGTCACTTAAAAATATGGTTAAGTGAGGTATGTCTCTAAGAAGACGACTTTTCAGTTCTTCGTGAAAGTGGATTGGGAAGAAAGGAAAATTGAGTAGTTTAAGTCATTAGTCTTTTGCAGGTTTAAGTCAGAATCCCCTGGGGCAAAAAAAATAAACCATACTCCTTGCTGTCTGTCAATTTCTATTCATGGCTTCCCTAAAGGACATAGTAGAATTGCCCCCATAAGTTTCCAACGTAGAGAAGTGGACTGCCACATCTTTCTCCCACAGAGTGGCTGGTGAGTTTGAACTGCCAACATTTCTGTCAGCAGTAGAGTGCTTTAACTGCAGAATGTTGGCCTCATGCTGGGGTTTCTGCATTTCTAACAAGTTTCCAGATTATGATGACAGTCTAGGTATAATACATCCATAAGTGTGAAGATTATCAAGACTGACAATATTGTTACCAGTTGTTGGTTACCAGTTGCTGTAGATTAAGACTCATGGCAACCCCCTGTGTGTCACAGTGGAACTGCTTCATAGTTTTAATGGAAGAAGATCATGAGGCCTATCTTCTGACGTACTGTTGGGTGGTTTTAAACCACCAACCATTTGTGACATACACTGAAAATACATTCCCAGTGTTTTGCAATAAACATCTTAACCTCTTTTCTTTTTGTAACCTACCAAGTAAATTCAGAGTCAATGACAGGATTGTTGCTGTGGAAGTATTTAGGCCTCAAGTAACTCATTAGTTAATGAATGATACTAATTATAATGAAACTTTTTCTAGTTGTATTGCAGGCTTACCTTAAGACTTATTCTTGGAAAAGTTACTTTATTCTAATTTTTTTTAATAACATAATGTTTCATAAACTTAATTCAGGGTTGAAAGCACTATGATTTAGATATCACTGCTTAATAATTCAAATAGAGTTAATATAGTAAACTTTAATATGTTCTTTTCTCTATATGTTTCTTCTATTAACAACTTGCATTCTTGTGCTACACATGTTGTAATTGAGAAAATAATATTGACACGTTGCCAGGTGCTTTTTTAAATACACTGTTTAATTCTCAGAACAACCGTATAAAAATCTGCTGTCGAGTTGGATCCGACTTACAGCAACCCCTTCTTGGGTTTCTGAGGCAGTATCACTACAGAAGTAGGTTGCCCAACCTTCTCGTTAGCAGTAAAATGCCCTAGGCACTACTCCACCAGAGAAAAATGACTTGCCCAATGTCATATAGCTAATAAGTCAGAACTGGAATTTGGAGGTTTGCTTGCTGAATGAGACTGGTGTGATTGCCATCTCCCTGGGACTTGACTTTGTGAGTGTGTGTGTGTGTGTGTGTGTAGGGGGAGAATATTGGGGTGGTTTTTTTTTTTGTTTGTTTGTTTTTTAAAAAAAAAATGTTTTAATGTAGGTACATAAAGAGACAATAGATGCTGTACCAAATGCAATACCTGGGAGAACAGACATAGAGTTGGAAATATATGGTATGGAAGGTATTCCAGAAAAAGACATGGATGAAAGACGACGACTTCTTGAACAGAAAACACAAGGTAAATATTAAGGTGTATGCTTTGACTTAGTACAGTTACATTTCAGAAAGTATGTACAATGACTGTAAATTTAATAGTAGATGGTAGTTTATTCAGAATTCTAGTTCATGTTCTATGTCTAAAATTATACATTTGATATATATATATATATATATATATATATATACACACACACATATATATGCAATACCATTTGGATTAAAGTGCTGATGTTTGACTTGGAATTCGAAGCATATACTACCAAGATGATAGGATGATAGGTGGTGTTAGTAAGCTATGAGTTTTGTTTAGTTTTTTTTAGAAAATTTTTATTGTGATTTGGGTGAAAGTTTACAGAGCAAATGCATTTTCCATATAGCAGTTCACATATACTTTGTCTTGTGATATTGGCTGCACTTTCCCACAGTGCAACAGCTCCCCTCCTACTTCCTTCCCATAGTTACCTCTTCCCTGTCCTTCCCTCCTGTGTACTCCTGCCCGCCCCCGATCTATCTCCTTGTGTGTACACAGCCCTTGTATTCTGTGATTGACCTCACCAGGGAGTGTATCTACCTAATGTAAATGTTCGGCTCATATGCTTGCTTGTCTTTTGTTTGGCTGGAAGACACAGGAGGGAGTTCAACTCCAGACTTGAAGGACAGCTAGGGGCCATAGCCTCAGGAGTTCCACTAGGCTCTATCAGACCATCAAACCTGGACACCATCACCCCACCCCACCCCGCTTTTTTTTTTTTTTTTTAGTTTTGTTCCACATTGTTCTCCCGCTCTATCCAGGATGTCCTACATAGACCCCCCTCCAAGTAGTTGACAGTGGTAGCCAGGTACCATCTAGTTCTTCTGATCTCATAGACATATAGGCTGATCACCTGTGAATTTTTCATCTTAGAAAGCTTTATAAAGAAGTCAAGTCTCTTTCATCATTTACATTCTGAGATGGAAGAGAAAGCTGATTTTCAAGTAAAACTGACTTACAATAATTATCTTAACTCTATAGGATAGGGAAAGCTCTGGTGGCATAGTGGTTCAAGTATTTGGCTGCTAACCAGAAGGTTAGTGGTTCATACCCACCAGCTACTCCATAGGGGAAAGATGAGTCAGTCTTTTGCTGTAAAGATTTATAGCTTTGGAAACCCTAAAGGCAGTTCTACTCTGGCCCGTAGGGTCACTGAGTCAGAATCGACTTGATGGCTGTGGGTTTTGTTTTTGTTTTTGGTATAGGATAAGAACAGGATATTAACTTTGCTTAATAAGATTGTGAAAACACATTCGAAGGGGAGAGAAAAGTATTAACTGAATTTTTTTTTAATGAAAATCTAATGAGCTCATTGTTACTGAAATAATTTTTAAAAACTTGAATGTTGTAAACTTTGTTTTGTTATTATTATACTCTATGGAAAAAAATTAATGAAAACCTTTTTTAGCAGAGAGTCAAAAAAAGAAGCAACAAGATGATTCTGATGAATATGACGACGATGACTCTGCAGCTTCAACTTCATTTCAACCACAGCCTGTTCAACCTCAGCAAGGTTATATTCCTCCAATGGCACAGCCAGGTCTGCCACCAGTCCCAGGAGCACCAGGAATGCCACCAGGTAGCACAAAACTTGGTTAACATTTAGCATTTTCAGGATTTTATTCATAAGATGTATTTTCTCCTTCTAATGCTTTAATAATTATTATAATTAATTTTTTAATTAGGCATACCTCCATTAATGCCCGGTGTTCCTCCTCTGATGCCAGGAATGCCACCAGTTATGCCAGGCATGCCACCTGGGTAAGAAAACCTCTCTTACTTGACTTGTGGGCTTGTGCCTAGTAATGGTATTTTTTAACCTGGGTGTGAATGAATTAAATATTACCTTGTATTTTTTGCTTCTAAAAGGTATAGGCTCTAGAAATCTTAAATTTGTCTAATAATGGGGGTCTGTGAGTAAATTAAAGGAATATAGATTGCCTGTGAAGAGAGTTAATTTTTTTTGGTTTCAGGATGTATGTAGACAGCCATCTACTTCAATTGCATTTGTTGTAATTAAAGTAAATGGTTGTAGATTTGAGTTTTGGAGATTCAGAACTGCCTGTGACACTTTACAGTAGTGACAAAGAAGCAAACTCTAAATGTGTTCTATATGTCAAAGCATCAAGAATTAAAATGAATATGAGGTGCGCGTGTCCATCACTTTTACTTAAATATTGTTGGATGTGAGAGGTGTACGATACACTTTCCCACTGTATTCTGAAAATCACAGTTAGATTTTGATTTTGTCATACATTTTCACAGATTGCATCATCAGAGAAAATACACCCAGTCATTTTGCGGTGAAAACATGTAAGCATCTCATTCATAATGTGATTCAGGAGGTATAATCATAATGTCATTTTTTGTGTGTGTTTAATGGTATCTATTCAGTTGACTTCAGATATATTCTAACCTTCCTTACTAAAAATTTGCAAGCTCATTGACACTGGTTTCTTAAAGGAGATAAATAAAACTTATGTGAGGAAATGGTAGTAAACCATATAAATATTTTCTAAATGTGAAAATCTTTCCCAAAATGCGAAATAATGGGACTTTGTAATAAGGACTAATATTTAAAAAGCAATGTAGTACTTCTGCCAAATTACGTGCTTTATTATCATAGAATAATTGGATTTTCTTTTGACAAAATCTGTTAGAAGTTAATCTGGGAAAAGGTCCTAAAAGAATGGATAGATTTGTGATTTTTGTAGGCATATTGGACATTGATGAAGATGAGCTTCTTTTGGAGGAAGGAAAATAACTATGCATTATGCTTTTAAATCATGTTTTAACCTTAGATATGAGCCCTGGTGTCACCATGGTTAAAGCGCTCAACTGCGAACCAAAAGGTGGCCAGTTTGAACATACCAGCCCTCCATGAGAGAAGGATAAGGCAGTCTGCTTCCATAAAGATTTACAGCCTTGGAAACTATATGTGGCAGTTCTACTCTGTCCCACAGGGTCACTCTTAGTTGGAATCAACTCAGGGACAGTGGGTTTGCTTAGGGTGGTTAGTATAATGTAGCTATTCTAAATGAAAATTAGGTAACCTAAGTTTACGTTTGAATATCACTGGTTTTGGAGATAGTTTTTCCTTGTCCTTCCGTTTAAATAAAAAAAAAAAACTTACTCCACAGTACATTTGTTATTTTCTTTCCTATTGAAAAATGACAACTCTAAAATGGAGATTTCTCCTATTTTTAAAATATTCTATGTGGATGTTTGTCAAGGGGACCAAGGATGACTTGCAACCTCAGTGACTTGAATGTTTTTCAACAAAGACTGATTTATTTTATTTTATTTTTTGCTTCTACTGGTAGACCCAAGAATTTATTGGGGATTTTTTTAGAGGATTTATTTTGATAGGATTGTTGCAGTGTTCTGTGGCAGCCTGATTAATTTCAGTAGTAGAGATTACATTCAAGTCTTTTATCCATTATTGTTTCAGGCTTTAGCCAAAATATTTTCTAATGGTTTATACCCTTAATTGAGCTTAAATTGTTCTTTGACATTTGCTTTCTAATAGAATGATGCCAATGGGTGGAATGATGCCACCTGGACCAGGAATACCACCTCTGATGCCTGGTATGCCACCAGGTAGGAAATTAAACAATTTCTTTTTTAATATGACTGTCAGACTTCAGTCTTAAGCTTTTTTTAGGCTATAGATTATGGATATTGGTTATGTTTTTCATAAGTATTGGTATAATTTTTTGTATAAGTTGGTGACTTCCGTTAATTATTGTGAGAAGTGTTGTTACGGATTTGTTTTGCCTTTTTATTTTTTGCTTTGAAATAGTTATAATAAGCTTCAGAGAAGCTAAAACGAGTCAGAATTAAGCACTGAAGCTCATATACTTGGGAGCAATTGTATTCTTTAGGAATATTCTAGACTGTATAGAGAAATCTAACAAACTGTCAAACAGTCTAAGTATTTATTGTCTTGACAAAAATTAAAAAGGTAGGTAGGTTCAGTCATGCAGTGATATCAAGGACCCATGCTTGATTTTTTCCTTTGAAATTTTTTTTTGTGATTTGAGTAAAAGTTTACAGAGCAAATAGGTTTTCCATTGAGCAATTGGTACACATTTTGATTTGTAACATTGATTGCAATTCCAACAGTGTAAGGGCAGTTTCCCCACTTCTATTTTTACCATTTCTTTCTATCACTTCCTGACTTCTGAACTTTATCTCTGGGCAAATACTGCCCTTTGATCTCATATGGTTGATTGTTCTAGGGAGTGCGCACCTCCCTGGTGTTAGTGTTCACCTTGTTGGCTTGTCAGTTTTGCTGAAATTTGAGCCACAGGGATAAGTTCATTTCCAGGCTTGAAGTGTGTTTAAGGGTGGTCTCAGGGCTTTGGTAGTCTTATTAGACCAATAAGGCTGACCATTTTTTTTATTTTGAGTTAACCCATGCTTTTTTTTTTTTTTTTTAAACTTTACACTCTGCCATCCTTAGGTTTTTTCCCCTGAAGAATGTCACTCAGTAGTTACAAGATAGCTTAGGCAAGAAGGAGGAGAGAGGCAAAGGTCAATAGCAGCGTGCTATTATTTTTCTTTTATTAGGGAGCAAAAACATTCAAACTTCTTAGCCCCTTATATAGTAGTTGTTCAGAATTAGGTCTAATGGATCCCTTACCTGCAAGGGAACCTGGGAAATGAAGTATCTTGACTTTTTAAGCTTATATAGTGGGAGATAGGAGGGAGCTGTGGTGGCATAGTGCCTAAGGCATTTGACTGTGAAGGCTGGTGGTTCAAACCCACCAGCTAATCCTCGGAAGATTGGGCAATCTCCATAGAGATAGTGAGATCCACCTTGGAATCCCAAGGAGGGGTCGCTATGAGTCGGAAACAATTTAACGGCAGTGAGTTTGGTTTGGTTTTGGCTAGTGGGAGATACTGGAGATCTGGTGGCGTAGTGTCTTAAGGCATTTGACTGCTGACCAGAAGGTTGATGGTTCAAACCTACCAGCCACTCCATGGAAGGAAGACTGGGCAGTCTATTTCCAGAAAGATTTACTGTCTTAGAAACTCAGTGGGGGTCGCTGTGAGTTCAAATTGACTCAGTGGCAGTGAGGTTTTTTTTTTTTAAGTGAGAGATACAGTGTAGGGAAAAGTATTTGGTTACCCAAATAAATATACCACAGAAGTGTTCGTGAGGCTCTCTTAATCTTTTGCCTTGCATTTCATACTTCTAATATATTTGATTTGCAACCATAGTAGTTTTAGAAGTACTTAAACAATAGTTTGATGTAAAAGGACATGGGAATAATAACCAGCAGCAAAATTCAAATCATTGCCAGTGTAACCATTAATGTATAGGTAACTCCTCATTATGCTCTGAGATAGTAGTAGGCACTTAAAAGAATTTGTTGTTGTTAGATAATGTCAAGTCGTCTCCAACTCATAGTGACCCTGTGTACAGCAGAACAAAACATTGCCTGGATCTGTGCTAGCCCCACGATCCTTGCTGTACCAGAGCCCATCATTGTAGCCACTGTGTCAGTCCATCTCGTTGAGGACCTTTCCCTTATTCCTTGACCCTCCACTTTACCAAGCATGATATCCTTCTCCAGGGAACGGTCCCTTCTGAAAACATGACCAAAGTAGGTCAGACAAAGTCTGGCCATTCTCGCTTCCAAGGAGCATTGCAGCTGCACTTCTTCTGGGACAGATTTGTTAGTTCTTTTAGCAGTCCGTGGTACTCTCAGCATTCTTTGCCAGCACCACAACTCAGAAGCATCGACTCCGCTTTGGTCTTCTTATTCATTGTCCAGCTTTCACATGCATTGTTGTTGTTGTTTTGCCGTTGAGTCGGCCCCGACTCAATAGCGACCCCTCCTTGGGTTTCTGAGGCAGTTATCACTACCGAAGTAGGATTGCCCAACCTTCCTTCTGAGGAGTGGCTCGTGGGTTTGAACCACCAGCCTTCTGGTGAGCAGTCAAGTGCCTTAGGCACTATGCTACCAATGCATATGAGGCGAAAATACCATGGCTTATTTTAGACGCACCTTAGTCTTCAAGGAGATATCTTTGGTCTTCAGCACTTGAAAGAGATCTTTTGCAGCAGATTTGCCCAATGCTATGCCTTGTCTGATGTCTTGACTGCTCCTCCATTGGTGTTGATTGTAGAACCAAGTAATATGAAGTCTTTGACAACTTCAATCTTTTCTCCATTTACCGTGAATACAAAATAATAGTTGATGCTTATTTGATAATCTGAAGTCAGCAAAATTTTAATTTTTTTGTTGAAAAAATGTAAAGAATGCATTTCATTGGTGATGCATTTTAGGAAATTTTGTTCATAGTATTTTAAAAGAAAATCATTCTGAAAATTTTTTTGAGTTAATGAAATCATATATCAAAGGTTTCTGCATTCCACATCAGGAATATCTGGTAAAGGACTGAGATGGTTCTTTTGTAGGTTTCAAAAAGTTTTCAAAGTCGATAGTAATCAGTAAGTTTAATTGCTGCTTTGACCATATGCAGGGTCTCAAGTGTTATCTTTCACTTCCCAAAATTCTGAAGAGAAGCAGAATGATGTGATGGAATGTTTGAGGCATGAGTTTTGGAAGGTGCAAATGCTTAAGTTCCTTGGACTTCATTGAGTTGTTCAGCAGTCAGTCCTTAGTAACTTTGTAGTATAGCATCTATTTTAATACAGAGTAGTGCCCAAGGCATTTGACTATTAACCAGAAGGCTGGTGGTTCAAGCCCACCAGCCACTCCTTGGAAGGAAGATTAGGAAATCTACTTCGTGGTGATACCGCCTCGGAAACCCAAGGAGGGGTCACTATGAGTCGAATCCGATTTGACAGCAGTGAGTTTAGATTTTAACAACAAAATTTTGAGGGAGTATTTTCTTCTGAACTAAATGTTTCAACTACTGAGTCCTCCCTTCCCTGCCCCCAACATTTCTTCTTTACAGGTATGCCCCCACCTGTTCCACGTCCTGGAATTCCTCCAATGACTCAAGCACAGGCTGTTTCAGCGCCAGGCATTCTTAATAGACCACCTGCACCCGCAGCAACAGTTCCTGCTCCACAGCCTCCAGTTACCAAGCCTCTTTTCCCCAGTGCTGGACAGGTAAGGTGAAATTCTAAAAAAGAGATTATACTTATTTAAAGGTAAAGTGCAATTGTTTACAGAAATCTGTGGAATTGTCATAGTTAAATTTTTTTATGATCTTTTAATATTAAATGTACCAAGAAATGGCCTATTCTCATCTGTGTTTGCACACATTTGTTTCTTCTACTCTTAAAAGATTGAGTGGAGCCAGAGATGCGTTATGTTACCTTTTCATAGCCGTGAACTCTGGTTACTCTTAGCTTTATTAGAAATGAAAGTTAAATTTTTGAGAACTTAAATACATGCTAATGTTTAAAGAGCCTTCTTTACCTGTTGAATTATGGGGAAATGAGACCAAAACTATACATAAAAATCCTTAAGACCTTAGTAAATCATTTGTTGGGCTCTTTATGTAGTGTAGAACTGTTGTTGTTATGTGCCATAAGATGCTGTAATGCTGCACTCAAGCTGAAAGGGCATCATTTAAGTGCCTTTGACCTAGCACGCTTATATTTCCTGCTGGTGTTGTCGTTGTAAAATTTGGAAGCTACAGATGCTTCTTTTACATGTAGTATGTATATAATGGTTGAGAAGTGCCCTTTAAGCACATTAAACTTAAGTTTTTGAAATTAGTGGGCATTTTGTTTATTTGAGAGATCTTTTGTAAAGTTACTGGTGCAGAATTGGAGTGTCAATAATGCATCCTTATTCTTCGTTTATTCCTGAAGTACCACAATGCAAAACATCAGTGTTGAAAAGAAGTTTTAGTTTTAGAAAAGAAACTGGTTAACTAGGTTTATTGGTGTAGAATTCTTTTAAAGAAAAATGAGGCTTGTGACTGTCACTTTGTTTATTGTAAATGGATTTAACTGCCTGCCTCTTTAAGTAGGTCAGTTTTGATTGCATTAAAATTTGACGTAACAAAAATGCAATCTTACGGGAAAAAAGTCTACCACGTGGCTTATTTTTACCCATTTGTTTGGAGACTTTTCATTGTTTCCTTTCTTTTATGCTACAGATGGGGACACCTGTAACAAGCTCAAGTACAGCTTCATCCAATTCAGAAAGTCTGTCTGCATCTTCTAAAGCGCTGTTTCCTAGCACAGCACAAGTACGCAGGAAGTTGCAGTTAAAAATTGTTAAAATGGCTTTATAACTTAACCCTTTGGACCCTACTTAAAAAACAAAATCTTTTCCCCAAAACTTTATATTATGTTTAATTTTTTAAAAGTAAAATTAGTGGTGAATAAATCAAATGATAACTAAAATTTGAATTCATACTACCAGAAAAAAATGTTCCCAAATGTCTATGGTTCTAAAGGGTTAAAAACATGTAAGCAGAAAATGCGTTAGTGGCCAATGGCTAGCCTGATGCATGATTAAACTATTTTGATTTATGCTCCTTAAGCTATTGCATCACATATAATGAAATTTAGTACTCTGCATTTGGTTCTAAGGTTGGCCTAGTTTATGTGTTTCAGTTGTTTGGTATTTGAAAAGTAACACATTTATTACTAGTAACTTAAAAGATCCTGCTAAGTTAACCTTTTTTTATCCGTGGTAATCATTTAGACATTGTTAATTTGAGGATACTGCAGTACTCTATATAAAGAATATCTCTAAAGAACATATCTTTAATGTACCATCATTGATAGTAATTGTTCATGTTTAGTAACTGGAGTTTATCCAAAAATTCTGTATTCTGTAGTTTCTAACTTTGTGGGGTGTTTTGTGTGTTTTATTTATTTATTTATTGAGCTGTTTGGTAGATTAATTACTTCAAACAGCTAATTTAGAATGGTACAAAAAGATTATATGCCATTTTGTTACATGGTATTTCGTCAATCTACAATAAATACAAAGTTTTGTAGATTAAGAATTTTTTGATGAGTAGGTGGAAGACATCTAAAAAGTCCGTTTTCACTGCTATGTTTTGGATATGACTTTAGCCCAGCATGTTATTTTGGATTTTCTTGAATTTTTGAAATGTTTTATCGTGTTAACGATTACAATTTTTTGTAACACTTACGTCCTTTATTTAATAATGCTATCTTTTTGGTGGTTTTTGTTTTTCAGTTAAACTGGTACTATACATACTCAGCGGTTTTAAGGTCTGTCATTTTATTGATGAAGGATTGTGTTTTACAGGCTCAGACAGCTGTCCAGGGACCTGTTGGTACAGATTTCAAGCCCTTAAACAGTACCCCTGCAACAACTACAGAACCCCCAAAGCCTACATTCCCTGCTTATACTCAGTCTACAGCTTCAACCACTAGTACAACAAATAGCACTGCAGCTAAACCAGTGGCTTCAATAACAAGTAAGCCTGCTACACTTACAACAACTAGTGCAACCAGTAAGTTGATCCATCCAGATGAGGATATATCACTGGTAAGTGGTTTTCAGTTTTTTAGTAGCATAATTTGATTGGAAAGCACTGTAGCTAACTTGTCCCTTATTGAAATGTGTTTATTTGTATGTAGATGTGTGGTGTATGATCTGATTTAATGCCAGTTAAGTGGTATTTATTTAGTATTCTTATTTTTAAGAAACCACAACATAATAATAAGCAAAGTGGATATTGCATGTTTTGATCTTAGATGCTCTCTCCAAACTATAAAAGACGACAGTAAGTTGGGTTCTTATTCTTTAAAAATCACTTTAGTTAGACATGAATTTGCGTATATAGATTGAAGAAACAGTTAAGTGTGAGCTAGGATCTGCAGATCCCTTGAAGCCTGTGTGGAAATTATTTTGACGTATAGTTAATATTTAGGATTTTGACAACAGTAATACCTTCTTTGGTAGATTCTTTCCAAAGCAGTTTAATTTCTAGAGAGTTGATGGAGATCTGGGTGGCACTTGGTTGGTGGTTCAAATCCATGCAGATAGTCCTTGGAAGAAAGGCCTGGCAGTCTACTGCCAAAAGGACACAGCTACTGAAAACCCTATTTGAAGTTCTACACTGAAACAAATGAGGTCACCATGAGTCAGAATTGACCCAATATTAACTTTTTGTTTGCTTTTTAGTGTTAATTGTTAGTCTCAGATATAAAAAATAGATGAGATTTTCCTAAAGCTTCCAAGATTTTAAGTAGTTTGGTTTGTGGGGCAAAAGTAATTGGAGAATTAGGGGTAACTTTAAAGAAATTAATTCTTACTCTGTAAACAAGATTTTAGACATGTGCCTTTATGTTTAATGAAGCTGTGCATTCAGGTTTTTGGCATTATGCTTGTTTTTATTTCTAGGAGGAGAGAAGGGCACAGTTACCTAAATACCAGCGTAATCTTCCTCGGCCAGGACAGGCTCCCATTGGTAATCCACCTGTTGGACCAATTGGAGGTATGATGCCACCTCAGCCAGGCATCCCACAGCAACAAGGAATGAGACCCCCGATGCCGCCTCATGGTATTACTCTTTTTATTTGTATTGCATTTATTGGGTTTTCTGAATATACATGTTAAAATGTCAATTATCTGCAAAATACATTGTATGTAAAAATATAATACATAGATAAACTTAATCTATGTTTTGTTTTTTAAATGTGTCTTTTAGGTCAGTATGGTGGTCATCATCAAGGCATGCCAGGTTACCTTCCTGGCGCTATGCCACCGTATGGGCAGGGACCGCCAATGGTGCCCCCGTTCCAAGGTGGGCCTCCTCGACCTCCAATGGGAATGAGACCTCCTGTAATGTCGCAAGGTGGCCGTTACTGATTTTACTTCATCCAATCTAATAGGTTTGGAGATTAAACCTTTTCTCAACTTGTGCTGTTTATATAGCCAAGCTTCCGTCAATTAAGGCTTCATTGTGACTTTAACAAACATTATCTTCCCACATACCAGGAACTATTGGACATTTATTTTACATGGGAAAAATTATTTGGAATAATAAAGCAAGAACTTTTCCTGAAGTTGCAATTTATACTGTATGGCTTCTTTTTCATGTTTCATCTAGGTTTTTAGAAGTGAAGTATAGTAAATTTGGTTCGTTAAATTGTGAAGGCGCTGGAATTACATGAACATACCATCTTAATAAAGGCAAGTTCTGTAAGCTTACATTGCTATTTGTAAAGTTATGCCTTCACAGCATTTCAGATGCTGTTGGACTTTATGTCCCCAACCTAGCTTGGTGAGGGCTGTAACTGGTTTCAAGTACCTGTACATTGGAAGTCTGAATGTATAACAATATTTAATGTATTTAGAATTCCTCATGTTGCAGGGTTTAAGAAATCTGACCCACCAAGGTCATGTGACTTTTCTGTACTGTTAAACTTCATTGTAATAAAATGAGAGAAAAAAATATGCCTTTTTATTCATAACCCAGCTGTGGACCACTGCCTGCAAGGTTTGTACAAATGCATGCACAGTAGATGTCCACATAATAAAATTTATAGTTACCAATGCAGTTTTCATATATCATTGGATTCTGTCTTTGAATTATAGGTTGTTCCTTAGCTGCATGTTATAAACTGGACAGTACACATAAATGTATGTTAATGCTTCAGTTAACAGAAAGACTTGAGATACATAAGAATTATTACACTATGGGCATGAAATCTTTATATTGTGTTTCCTCTCCACCTTTTGTGGTGTGAATACATGTCAAATATCATTTAAAGTGTAAATTTTAATACTTTTTCCTTCTTGCTGATGTTTAGAGTCTAGTGCCAGACCTATTCATTTCCTTCTGATTATTTTGAGACTGCAGTACTGCATGGGCCTCAGAAGCTTTTCAGGTGCAAAATTCTAGAAGCTTAGGTGCATGCAGTAATAGCTTCATGTGCTATTAGTGGGTTGATACAAATTGTAAGTGTAATGCTAGAAATCTAAACACACCTGTGTTTGGGTGGTTAACAGATGGATTAGCTTTTGATTTTACTATATTGCTGGGAGATTTTATTACTTATTTGGTTAGATGGATACCTTCTGTTAAGTCTTAAACTTCTACCTGCTTTACTGTAGACTTTTCATTAGTGGAAGTTTGAATATTGCCATAGAGAACTTTTCTGTAGAGATGATGGTTTTTCAGTATTTTGTGTTGATGTGTCATGTAATAATAGATGTAGTTGACCTTTTTGGCATTTTTTTTCCTAATTGTCACTTTTACAGGTAGTTTTATTATTAAGTATCAAATGAGCTATACAAAATAGAACTATTGATATTCTTTCTCAATATATAAAATGGTAACATTTCTTTGTGACCCTTATGTGAAAGTGTAGTTACAAGACATGAGACCTGAAGTTTTTATTTTAAAAAAAAAGTTTTAAACTTGTTGGAAAATACATTTTAAATTGTTTTCAATAACCACGAAAGTCCTTATTTAAGTGACTGTAAAAGTCATTCATTGAAACAAAATAATGTGATTAATATAAAGCTAAATGCTGTTTTAAATCTGATAACATTGCTCCGGTGGTTTTGTAGTTCCTAAGGTCTACCGTTGAGGTTTGGAAAGAAGCATCCAATATCAGCAAGAATCCCTTTCTTTTGCTAGCAGCCAAACCCTTCCCACACTGAATGCCTTTCTTCGTGAATAGTTTCAGAACTAACAAAAAAAACTTGGATATGGCAGCACATTTATCCTGCCAAAGAAAAACTTTTGTTGGAAATCACTAAGGTAAAAATGGCAAGGCTAAATTTGGCATGAATAAATAGGAAATGCTCTCCCAAACCAAATGTCTTTCAAGTGTTTCATGTACAAGTTTGTTGGCAAACTTGGAAAAGGGTTCATAGTTCTATTTCCAAAATTATTCAAAGCTATATTTTCATTTTATGCAAAGAGGACTGATATTTTTATAGCAAGGTTTGTTGCTTTCTGAGGTCTGAAGGAAGAAAATACTCTTTAAACAATAGGTGTTAGAATTCTAGTTAAAAGCTAACTTTAAAAATATTTGAGTGTTTTGCATGGCACTTAAAAAAGTTCAAATACACCATTTTCTGTGTATTGTAGCTACATGGCTGAGGTGGTCCCATATGATGTATCTAAACGTAATTTGTGCATGCATCAGAGCATAATTAAGCTTCTAGAAAATACCTTTTACCTAACTGCTTCTGGAGTCCATAGTATGCTTAAATTGTGAGCAGAACAAATTACATGAGATTATTAACTCTTACTTTGAGTTACACTTCTATAAGTAATAAGATTAGTTGAAGTAAATTTTCAGCTGCCTTCACAGTTTTTGGTATTTGATATATTCAGGCAAGCAAGGTAATTGCCATAATAAAGGAAGTTGTAATGTTAATTGCTGTTTTGGCTCTACCTGACATCTACTTCTTATATCATCCTCCTCTTTAGAAAAACAACTTAAACATTCTGTCTGGCACTAGCTTCTATTGTATCAATTTCTCTTCTGTATTACAATACCAAGACCAGCAGGTGTGGATCAACTTTTGAATGGCTGCTGGAATTTTCATTTTACTTGAATACTTAACTACTAGTAATCTTCACACATTTGCCTCAGGATTTGGGAGAATATTTTAGGTATACTCCTGTTCCACTGATCAAGTTAAAATTGAACTTAAATTCAGCTTAATTAAGTTTAATTACTTGGGAAGAAATCCCCAATAAAATAAGTATGGGCTCAGAATGGAATTACAGTGGACAATAGTAAAAAAAAAAAAAAAAAAAAGGCTGTTCTTTTTCCTTAATTGCTTGATCATTGGGATTTTTTTTTTTTTAAATGCATGTCTTTTAAATTAATTGGGTAATGTTTTTCTAAAATTAAAATTTTCTTCTTCCTATAGCCCTGCCATAGGACAGGCTGAGGCTGAGTCTCAGTGTTGCCCTGTTCAGTCTGAGGCAAGTGGGATTTATTTTATTCCTTATAGGGGCTTTCACAGCTTTATGGCTGTTGGATATTTATGTCCCCAAACTTGCAGCAAGTTTGGTGAAGGCCCCTAAATTTAATTAAACTTAGGATTTTTATAATTTTTTGCAGAGGTGGCTCTATATTAATATTCATGTTTGACTGTGGTGTTAATAAACATGAGTACTTGATATATGCAATTTTATATAATTTATATTATGTATTTTACAGCCTCAGTAAAGCTTGCTTTACTATACTGAACTTGAGCAAATTGACGAAATTTGACGTTCTTGATTGGAGGCATGATGAAACACTTCATTCAAACTTTCTACTTTCCCTTTTAGGAAAATATTACTGGTTGTTTTCTCCTCACACTACTAAATTTAACATCAAGGATAAGTTTAATCATTGAAATTACCGCTGGATGCTGAAATCTACATTCTGAATCCCAAACTTAGGCATTGAACATTTAAGTTTGAAAGGTCATCTGGAAGTGCTTGTGATTTCTTAATACTTTTAAACCTCACCACATTAGAGCAAATGTTAATGTAGAGCCCTGTGAAGAGTGGGATGGTGGGGTGGGTGTGTGTGTGTTTTGTGTGTGTGTGAGTTGAGAGAAGTGTATCGATGTAGGCTACACGTACAGTTTAATTAAAGGATACACTTTGGGTATTAGAAATCTGTCCATGTAGGTAGATTACTAGTTTTCAGTCAGCCAAACATCATATCATGTAGTAAAATGACTAGTATATTAAAGTTGGTCTTAGAATGGTTCTTTTTAGGTTCATTTTCAGCCATAACAGTATTTTACGTAGTACGCACATATGAACAGTTACCTGTTCTCAGCTAAGATTTGCTTTCATTTGGTGAGAAAAGTTGTGTGTGTGTGTATGTGTGTGTGTGTGTGTGTGTGTGTGTGTGTGTGTGGGAGGAAGTAGAGAAAGAATTGGGAAGAAAGACCAAAACTTAAACATGTATTGCTTTTGTTTCTCATACAATTCTATCTAGATAGCATTTTTTTCTCAACAGTAACAGCAAATAATACAGTGATTAACAAACCTGGGATTATGATTCTGTGTGGTTTTAATTTTTGGAAGCATAAAGGCAAAAGTATGTGTTAAGTGAATTTCAAATTTTGACCAGTTTAATTAAAACATTTGCTTTTCACTGTTGTAACTGAATAATAATAGGTTATCATGAAAAAAAAATTAATAAAAATAATTTTGTTGTTTCCACAACAAAATATTCCTTGAAAAATTTTATAAGCATTTCAGTAATTATATTTTATAAGACTCCTTGATTGGAGACCTGTTTTCTTTCAAACTCAAAATCCCCCAAATATATTGAAATCTCTTGAAGTTGTTTATCCTAATTCTAATAATAATAATTGAAACAACTGTAATTGAAGCAGGTTCTTGTTTACTTTAGTTGGTAGGAGGGTGGGAGTGGGCTTTCTAAGGGTGGCATGATTTGTTGGAGATAGATACCTAATTTAAGATGTAATTCTTTTGCTATCTTTGTTGTTCTGTGACTCCGATAGGATTTTGAGAAATGCTTAACTTTCAAAATGTCCATAAAGCCTACTTGTAAAACTGGGTAAATGAAAGAAAATATTGAAGTCTCTTCTTTACGGAGAGAAAATTTCATCTAAACATAAGCATTTGGATTGGTTTAGCAATTTAAGCACATACCCTAAAATTTTGTATTAATCAGGTATATCTTTTTAAAAAATAGTATTTAATTTATTATTAAATAACTTCTGTAGCTTATTCCAAAATAAAACTTATTTCACTGTAACTTACAGAAAAGTTATCTAAAAAGGGAGATGTAGTTATAAGTCTGTTGGCTATTGAAGATAGGTTTTTATGATTACAGTTCTTTTTATCACATAACTTGACCAGTAGGGAAGGT